CTACAAATACTACTAGTACTACTACAAATACTACTACTACTACTACTACTACTACAAATACTACTAGTACTACTACTACAAATACTACTACTACAAATACTACTAGTACTACTACTACAAATACTACTACTACTACTACTACAAATACTACTACTACTACTACTACTACTACAAATACTACTACTACTACAAATACTACTACTACTACTACTACTACTACAAATACTACTATTACTTATACTACTGCTAATATCACTACTATTACTACTACTACTACCAATCCTACTACTACTACTACTACTACAAAAACTTCGACTGCTGCAACTACAAATACTACTACTACTAATACTGTGATAACTACTACTGTTACTAATACGACTACTACTACTAATACTCATACTACTACTAGTATCACTACTACTACTACTACTACTACTACAAATCCTACTACTACTAATATCACTAGTACTACTACTACTGCTACTACTGTTACTGATGATGTACTACTTCTCACACATTCTCCCAAACTCACTCTGGCTTCTTTATGGACGCACAACATGAAATCTAGACTTAAACTCTGATCAATTTATCCACAAATGTTTCTTCTTTTCTTTTCAGATTCATCCCATTCTCAAACTGAATCATTCCATCAGTTCTTCCTCTTTCTCTCATGGATCAATCATTACCTCTGCCCCACGGCTCCTGCTCAGCCTCTTGTATCCTCACACATTCCTGCCTTTTACAGACGCAACTATAAATCACCAGCTAAGACAAAATCCAGGGATTAGACCCAGAGACCAGGGACCAGGGACCACCCCAGTCTGGTCTTTGTGGGACTAACCTTTCAGATGGAGAGGTTAAATATTACCTAAATACTGGGGGGACTTGGGGTTACATTCTAGAGAGGCCTTTTTGCTTCAAATTGGAGAAATTTCACGATTAATTATTTAAATTTAATCCGATTCAACGTTTTTTTGTTTCGCCCTAAATCACAACAGTGTTATCTGAGAGGAATTAAAGGAGCAGTAACTAAACGAATCCAGAGTTTTGTCAACAACAAATCTATAATCAACACCTTTTTCACAAAGATAGGAATCCTGGTTTTATTCCTTGTTTTGTCGTTAATGGTTTGAGAATCATAACAAGACCTTTTTTGGTTCTGCGCCACATGGTACTTTACCAGTGAGATTAGCTCCACGCGGTGAGTTCTGGCGCCCGGATCACAGACTTTCTGATTGGTGAAACGGTGGAGGGCGGGACATCGAAATGAAAACAATAACAAGATTTAGAGGCTGATTTTGAATTATGATGCATTTCAACTGTACTTTTGCTATTTTTATGCTACTGCTACTACTACAAATACTACTACAACAACAACAACTACTACTACTACTACGACTGCAATTACTACTACTACTAATATTACTACTACTATTACTTTCTAAATTAGTTTTAATTTCTAAAACTAATTTAGAAATTCAAATATCTCTGAACTACTGTCATCAGTTAAAGAAAGATTTGAAAAGAGCAGGTTTATTAATGCCTTTTGACAGATTAGGGCCCTTTAATGATGACTTAACATAAAAATCTTATATATTACTACTTTAACAAAACTGTTGAATTCGCCAACAACAGATCAGAGAATAAAATTGTTCAAAAACAAGAAATACATTAAAGCCGCAAGCGGCGTCGAACGGCCCTTGCCGCACCGCTTTCACCACCCCGCACCAAGCCGCCCCGCACCAAGCCGCCCCGCACCAAGCCGCCCCGCACCAAGCCGCCCCGCACCAAGCCGCCCCGCACCAAGCCGCCCCGCACCAAGCCGCCCCGCATCAAGCCGCTCCGCACCAAGCCGCTCCGCACCAAGCCGCTCCGCACCAAGCCGCTCCGCACCAAGCCGCCCAGTACCAAGCCGCTCCGCACCAAGCCGCTCCGCACCAAGCCGCTCCGCACCAAGCCGCTCCGCACCAAGCCGCTCCGCACACAGCCGCCCAGTACCAAGCCGCTCCGCACACAGCCGCCCAGTACCAAGCCGCTCCGCACACAGCCGCCCAGTACCAAGCCGCTCCGCACCAAGCCGCCCAGTACCAAGCCGCTCCGCACCAAGCCGCCCCGCACCAAGCCGCTCCGCACACAGCCGCCCAGTACCAAGCCGCCCCGCACCAAGCCGCCCAGTACCAAGCCGCCCCGCACCAAGCCGCCCCGCACCAAGCCGCCCAGTACCAAGCCGCCCCGCACCAAGCCGCCCCGCACCAAGCCGCCCCGCACCAAGCCGCCCCGCACCAAGCCGCCCCGCACCAAGCCGCCCCGCACCAAGCCGCTCCACACCAAGCCGCCCAGTACCAAACCGCCCTGCATCAAGCCGCTCCGCACCAAGCCGCCCAGTACCAAGCCGCCCAGTACCAAGCCGCCCCGCATCAAGCCGCTCCGCACCAAGCCGCTTCGCACCAAGCCGCTCCGCACCAAGCCGCTCCGCACCAAGCCGCCCCGCACCAAGCCGCTCCGCACCAAGCCGCTTCGCACCAAGCCGCTCCGCACCAAGCCGCCCAGTACCAAGCCGCTCCGCACCAAGCCGCTCCGCACCAAGCCGCTCCGCACCAAGCCGCCCCGCACCAAGCCGCTCCGCACCAAGCCGCTCCGCACCAAGCCGCTTCGCACCAAGCCGCTCCGCACCAAGCCGCCCAGTACCAAGCCGCCCAGTACCAAGCCGCTCCGCACCAAGCCGCCCCGCACCAAGCCGCCCCGCACCAAGCCGCCCCGCACCAAGCCGCCCCGCATCAAGCCGCTCCGCACCAAGCCGCTTCGCACCAAGCCGCTCCGCACCAAGCCGCCCAGTACCAAGCCGCTCCGCACCAAGCCGCTCCGCACCAAGCCGCTCCGCACCAAGCCGCTCCGCACCAAGCCGCTCCGCACCAAGCCGCTCCGCACACAGCCGCCCAGTACCAAGCCGCTCCGCACACAGCCGCCCAGTACCAAGCCGCTCCGCACACAGCCGCCCAGTACCAAGCCGCTCCGCACCAAGCCGCCCAGTACCAAGCCGCTCCGCACCAAGCCGCCCCGCACCAAGCCGCTCCGCACACAGCCGCCCAGTACCAAGCCGCCCCGCACCAAGCCGCCCAGTACCAAGCCGCCCCGCACCAAGCCGCCCCGCACCAAGCCGCCCAGTACCAAGCCGCCCCGCACCAAGCCGCCCCGCACCAAGCCGCCCCGCACCAAGCCGCCCCGCACCAAGCCGCCCCGCACCAAGCCGCCCCGCACCAAGCCGCTCCACACCAAGCCGCCCAGTACCAAACCGCCCTGCATCAAGCCGCTCCGCACCAAGCCGCCCAGTACCAAGCCGCCCAGTACCAAGCCGCCCCGCATCAAGCCGCTCCGCACCAAGCCGCCCCGCACCAAGCCGCTCCACACCAAGCCGCCCCGCATCAAGCCGCCCTGCATCAAGCCGCCCCGCATCGAGCCGCTCCGCACCAAGCCGCTCCACACCAAGCCGCTCCGCATCGAGCCGCTCCGCACCAAGCCGCTCCACACCAAGCCGCTCCGCACCAAGCCGCCCAGTACCAAGCCGCCCCGCATCGAGCCGCTTCGCACCAAGCCGCTCCGCACCAAGCCGCCCAGTACCAAGCCGCCCCGCATCGAGCCGCTTCGCACCAAGCCGCTCCACACAAGCCGCTCCGCACCAAGCCGCCCCGCACCAAGCCGCTCCACATCAAGCCGCCCCGCATCGAGCCGCTCCGCACCAAGCCGCTCCGCACCAAGCCGCTCCGCACCAAGCCACCCCGCACCAAGCCGCTCCGCACCAAGCCGCTCCGCACCAAGCCGCTCCACATCAAGCCGCCCCGCATCGAGCCGCTCCGCACCAAGCCGCTCCGCACCAAGCCGCTCCGCACCAAGCCGCTCCGCACCAAGCCACCCCGCACCAAGCCGCTCCGCATCAAGCCGCCCCGCATCGAGCCGCTCCGCACCAAGCCGCTCCACACCAAGCCGCGCCGCACCAAGCCGCTCCGCACCAAGCCGCTCCGCACCAAGCCGCTCCGCACCAAGCCGCTCCGCACCAAGCCGCTCCGCACCAAGCCACCCCGCACCAAGCCGCTCCGCATCAAGCCGCCCCGCATCGAGCCGCTCCGCACCAAGCCGCCCCGCACCAAGCCGCCCCGCATCGAGCCGCTCCGCACCAAGCCGCCCCGCACCAAGCCGCCCCGCACCAAGCCGCAACGCGCCGCTCCACAACCCCCCGCACTACGCCACACCACACCGTACCACGCAGCACCGTGCAAAGGAGGTGGGGCCGCCGTGTGATGATTTGTTGCTGTTGCCAAAGAAGAACGTTAGTCAAATTGTAATGAATAGGATGATTAGAGCTGTTTGGCACCCCATGTAAAACTTTGCCTCAATCTGTAGGGGGCGCTAATGGGCCAATTTCAAATATTTCACTTTCACCTGACCTATAACCCTGGAGTTGAACATTGGATTCAAGTTTTGTGCAAATCAGACTTTGTTTGTGCAAACGGGAGCTAAATTAATGTTGTGAAAAACGGTCAAAAAACACTCACATTTTGCCGCTCCGCTGCTCAAACAACGTTTCACTGATCAAAAATCCCTTTGGTCATTTTGAAGGTACTTGTGTTGATCATCTGGAGCGATTTTGAGGCCAATCGGTGAAACGGCCGCTTTCCAACCGACATGTATGAAAATGATTGCGGATCATTTTTCCATTCTGCAGTGAAATTTATGGACTTCCTGTTTGTCAGAGGGCGGAGCCCCGATAACATTTTGGTCGTATCTTGACTTGAGGAACATGTGTACCGAATTTCATGGCTCTACGACAAACTTGACCTCTGAAACTCCCATTGGCTGTTGTAGGTGGCGCTGTTCTGGCATTTTTTGAGTCCCAGAAAATTAAACACCAAAATATCAATTTTTCACCAGGTCTGATGTTTGGGCAAAATGTTACAACTTTTCATGCATGTTCAGGGGGTCAAATTAAGGCTCAAAGTGCAGAA